GCGGAAGGGCAGGGTGGAGTCCAACTCATTTTTGATCTTGATCAGAGCATCGAGCACCATAGGTCCACATCTAGAACAGAAAACAAAGTTGGTCGACCCATAAAACTCCCCCCCCGCCTCAGCACGTGATCTCCAGCACCCCAAGCAGCACCTAAAAGGACTCTGATCAGCTACAATTAAAAATACACTTTTTTCCCACTAATTCCAGCTAGAGGTATCTCCACCAGCAGCACGACCCATTCGCCTCAGCACACGTCAGAGTGGGACAGAAGCCCTTTTTTTTGTGAAAACTCTGGTGACTTGGCTCAGCAGGAGAGGGTGCAGGCAGCACAACTGAAAAACTGAGTGTTTTGCAATGGTTTCTCTCCTTTTGGGTCAGGTTTTAACTAGTTTGCCTGTCCTCATTAGTCACAAGAGGCAGCGCTGCACACAAAACCACAGTCTTGGACAACTTATGTAATTTTATATACAGCCGACAAGGCAACACCCAGAAATTATTAACTGGTGCATGACACAAAAATTCGAGCTCTCCATCGTGTGCTTCTTAAGCAGGGAGCTGCATGGCTTTGTATCTGAAGCTTCTGGAAAGGGCTGGAGGTGAATTCCTCTGGCAAGAGGACAGGGAAACCACGTGCCCACACAAAGGTTTCTGCGCCACAGGGACAACTGCAGCCCTTTGCAGAACTGTGGAGAAGCGAGAGCGTTCTGGGTGACAGCAACACAAAAGTGTGCAGGTGAGCAGGTGATGACTACAGGTTTAACAGAACCCACAAATCAGAAGTAACTAAGTGTTAAGAAAACTATGAGAGAGTTGCTAAAGCTTGCACTCAGGTGTGGGACTGCAAGCTACGTGTAAAGTACTTTCCTTTTGGAACACGGCCTAAAATTTACCGTATGAATAAAACTTCTTAAAGCCACGAATGCATTCAAGTCTTCAGCACAACTCAGGGACGCAGGGAAAACCTCACAGAAGTCACAAAACCAAGGGACCCTTTTACTGCTGACATCTCTCGAGGCACTGGCACTCTGTGTCCAGTTTTATTTGCCACCAACAGGTGAGGGAGGGGAAATAACCCCCCGTGATCCCAGTAAGATTTGCTTCGTTATCTCGCCTGCGCTGAGGACAAGGTGCTCTGTAACACAGCGGAGGCACCACTTCCTTGGCCTTCTAACAGTTTCTGAAGCTTAATGAGGCTGCTGACACCTCAGGTCCTGCTCCTCAGCCACCCTCCATTATCGTTTGTCAGAGAACCCACACGCACCCGCAGCCCCAGCAGCAAAGCTTCTCCCCCTCTGGCGCACACTCACTTATTCAAATCCACTTCGTATGTCTGCATGCGGGGCTTGTCCCCGGGCTTATCGGGATCCCATCTGTAGATGGCAAACTTCTTGATCCGGGGCGCTGCCGCGGCTGCTGTCTGCGCTCCCCGACACATCTGCATCCAAACAACGGCAACACAGCCCTTAGGTCCCTTCGGGTGGCTTTTAATTGAGCAACAAAACGACCTGAGGCCACATGTTTTGGGCTGAGAGCTGCAAGATCCATCATTGACTTTGCATCTGGGCATTCATACAGCTTTTGGAAAACCCTCCCAAGGGTTTGCCACAGCAATGGACCTGGGACCAAGCAACAACCTCTGCCCAGGGGCTCCCTACTCCTCCATGAGGCAGAGAGAATAATCCTAAAACTAACGGGTAACCCATCAGTGCTCCTGCAGTACCTGCAGAAACTCCTTCCTCTACAGCCCCGAGGGCTTTCCCTGCCCCAAAAGGGTCCTCAGAAACCCCCAACCACATCTCTACCCAGGAGCTTCTTCCCTCTCCAGGCCACCTGCCCCACCTCACCCTTCCCCAAAGCACCCCACACCTTTTCTCCTACCATTCTCACATCTCTTCCCACCCCACTTCTAGACCTCCTGCACCCCCCAATCTCCTGCCAGCCCCTATCTCCCCCTAAACCCTTTCCAGACCCCATCCTACTCCTTTTTACCCCAAGCTCTCTCCAGCACCCCTCTCATCCATCCCCCCTTCCTCTAACTCACTGTAAACTCTTTTCCCATCCTGTACTGTGTCCTGGATCCCCTCATGCTCCTCAGGCCCGTCTGCACCCCTGCTCAGCTTCCCCAAAACACTCTCTGCATCCCCTCCTGTTCCCCAGCTCCCCCTCAACCCTCGCTGCACCCCCTTCTGTCCCCAGCAACCCCTC